GCCCGAGCGGCCCGCGCCCCCTTCCGCGCGCCCCCGTCCCCGCCGGCTCGGAGGAGGGGGCAGGCCGTCCTGTTTCCCCACACCCCTCCCAGCCGCCGCCGGCTTTGGGGCCCCGGTGGGGAGCAGGGGGCTGATTAGCCGAGGAGCAGGGGTGTGGCCAGCGGGGCCCTGGGTAGTGAGTCACACACGCTGCTCGCCCAGTCCAGGGGCCGAGCGCGATCCCAGCCCGAGCTGCGCGCTGGCCCGGCCCGAAGAGTGTCCCCGGGCTTGGCATGAGGACCTTGGGGTGCCGAGGGAGGGGCTGAAGCCCTGCGCGGTGGTGGAGGAGGGCGGTAAGCGGAGGGCTGGGATGACTCCCCTGGCGAGCGGGGTGGGGCTTGGAGTCAGGGCTGGTCCAACGGCCCACGCCGGGACCCCCAGGCCCCGCCTGTACCTGCTCTGAGCTGGCAAAGCGGGCCTGGCCGCATTCCCTGGCAGCCTCCGGGTGAGGGGCTGCGCAGCCGGGCGCTGAGGGCTCACTTCATCTGCCCGCCCCCCTTGGCCCCAGCTGGGCTTGAGTCGATGCCTCCCCTGCGCCCCATTGCAGAGTTTTGTGCGTGGCTCCCGTGGGTTCCCCATACCCTTTGCCCTTTGCTCTTGGGGTCCAGACTGTGCCACCCAGCCCTGCCTGCTGGCCTGAGCTGCCCCCGACCCCTGACCCCACGGGGCTGGTGGCTCCAATCGTCCCCAGGACCAGCCCAGGATAGAAATGGCATTTCCTCTTGGCCGGGCTACAGCTGTTTTTGTTGTCTGTGTTCTCAAGCGCTTCCTCTGGGGATGGCAGGGAGGGTAACCAGACTCCACGGGACCCCTGCTTGCCCTCTCCGCCACTCACCCCTCTTCCCCTGTCTCTTTGATCCTCTTCGTGTGCTGGTCCCGCCTTCACGTCCCCAGGACAGAATGACTGAGAACATGAAGGAGTGCCTGGCGCAGACCAAGGCGGCCGTGGGGGAGATGGTGACCGTGGTGAAGACCGAGGTCTGCTCACCACTCCGTGACCAGGAGTATGGCCAGCCCTGGTGAGGCCCCTATGTGGGAACAGGACGGGGAGAAGGGGGACTCGCTGGGCGGGGTTGGGTGGAGACCCCGGGGAGAGTTCCCACTCCTGCCCACCTTCCTCGTCCTGCACGGAGCAGCTCCTGGGACCAGAGGTGAGCACAGGCTCTAGAGAAATCCAAGCAGTGGGTAGCCCGAGAAGGCCTGGGCTCGGGTCTCAGGACCCCTACCGTCCACCATGACCTGGCGGGCTGCCTGGGGCTCCTCCACCTGCCCCACGTCCCCGAGGCCTCCTGGCCAGGTCCTCAGCTCCTCTGCCCCCCAGCCTCTCACTCTCTGATGGCTTCTTTGCTTTCTTTCCTGGCGCCTGTCCTGGCCAGCTCTAGGAGACCAGACCCCTCAGCCATGGAAGTGGAGCCCAAGAAACTGAAGGGGAAGCGAGACCTCATCATGCCCAAAAGCTTCCAGCAAGTGGACTTCTGGTGTAAGTGCAGCTTGGGGCACTGCCTGGGGTCAGCCCCACCCCCACCCCGTCGCTGCTGAGGGACTCTGCAACGATAATGCTGATGACAGGCGCTGCCTGTCAGGTTCTTACACAGGTCCGGGGCTCAGTTAAGCCTCACCACTAGCCATTGAGGTGGCTGTTATTGATCCCATTTCCCAGATGAGGACACTGAGGCTTGGTGAGGTCACCCAGCCCGCAGATGCACAGTTGCAATTCAAACCCAGACCCATCTGACTCCAAAGCCGTGCTCTTTCTTCTGCTTTTTCACACTTGAAACAAAGGGAGCTACTGGTTTTCTGAGCAGTGGCAGCCGTGTCCTTTGAGCCCCCAGGGAGGGTAACGGGTGATTGCTACTGAAGATTCAGGTGCCTGTGGCTGGATAGGGTGGAGCCAGGGCGGGGACTCCTGAGTCCTGTGCAGTGTGCTTTCCTCTGCCCTGCACTGTCCTCAGGGTGGGCTTCTCGTCGGCCCCTCAGCCTCCTCCACGGAGGTCCCGCCTCCCCGCAACACCCGCAACAACTGAGGCTCTCTCCTCTCTCCATCCCTCCAGTCTGCGAGTCCTGCCAGGAGTACTTTGTGGATGAGTGCCCGAACCATGGCCCCCCGGTGTTTGTGCCCGACACGCCGGTGCCCGTGGGTATCCCAGACCGGGCGGCCCTCACCATCCCGCAGGGCATGGAGGTGGTGAAGGAAGCCAGTGGGGAGAACGATGTGCGGTGCATAAATGAGGTCCTCCCCAAGGGCCACATCTTCGGCCCCTACGAGGGGCAGATCTCCACCCAGGACAAATCAGCTGGCTTCTTCTCGTGGCTGGTGAGTGTCCCCTGGGCTGTTCCATGGGAGAGGGTGCCGAGGAGCCTGGAAGGAAACCAGCAGGGGGAGCCATACGCCGGCCCAGCCTGGCCCAAGAGCTTTTCTGCCGTCACTCCGGCACACGTGCGTGGTGGATCTTGCTATCCCCTTACCCCGATGAGTGGCTGCGACCCTTGATGGCTGAGGGCCATGCTGAAGAGCCGTCTGGCAGTAGTTGGCTGAATCAGTGGTGGGGCTCCAGGAAGAATCGCAGAACTCAGGGCGGTTTTCCCATGAATCCTTGTGTGTTTGGCAGGCCATTCAGTGGCATTTACGGAGGGTTTACCCAAGCTCTCCTCTGGAGCGGGTGACTTGGGGCTGGGGTCCGGGGGATGCACAGCATGACCTTCAGCTCAAAAAGCGGTAATGCCAGGTGCTGGGCTAGATGCTGGAGGTAAAGCTTTCAACCAGACAGGTATGGTCCCTGCTCTCAGGGAGCGGGCAGTCTGGTGGGGAAACATATTGAACAATTCATACACGTGTGATAATTGCTACTGAAGGGGGCGGTGAGGATGCTCTGGGAACAGCGGGAGACAGCAGTGTGCGTAGTGCTCAGGAATTTGGGGCCTGGAACCCAAGTTCATTATGTCAGCTAGCTTTGCTGTTTACTCTCTAATGTGACCTTGGACGAGTCATTTACCCTCTCTGGGCCTGTTCTGTAACAGGACAATCACAGCCGATGGTGAAGATTAAATGAGTCCGTCCTGTAAAGTTCTTAGAATCATAATTGCCCTTGGTAAGCGCGCAGTGACTATCAGCTGTCATTATGGTTCTCAGCCTACTTGAGGGATCTGGGCAAGATTTCCTTTAGCCTGAGACCTGAAGAATGAGTAGCGGTCATGGAAGGGGATGGAAAAATGCTCCGTGCAGACAGAGCAGCTGAGAGAGGAACTCGGAGAAGTACGGTGGATAACAGCAGTGGGCCTGAGAGGCAGAGTGGCGAGGAATTGGCAGAGGAGGGAGGCAGGGGCCGGATCGTGCTGCGTTTCATAAGCCAGGGTGAGTGCGTGCCCCGTCCAGCGGGCAGGGGAAGCCAGTGAAGCCCTCGAGCAGAGGTGTGACTCAGTTAGGTTGCACAGTGGAGAACTGGGATTCCAGGTAGGAGGCTGGGGTGCGGGTTCAGGTGAGAAAGGTGATGGCTTAAGCTGAGGTGCTAGAGGCCTATTGGAGAGAGATTTAGGGGAGAGAATCTCCAAGGTTTGTTGATGGATGAGATGCGGAGGTGAGGAAGAGGGGTTTTCAAAGATCTGAAGAGGAAGGATTATCAAAGACGACTCTCAGGCGTCAAGTTTGAGCAGAGAAGGGAACGTGGGACAATAGAGAAAGGCAGGCTGCGGGTAGGAATATCATTCATTATTCATTGAATAAACACTTCTTGAGGGTCTCCTTTGTACCAGGCGCTGGGCTGGCCCTGGGGATACAATGGTGGGCCAGATCAGACATCAGTTCTGCCCTCATAGAGTTTACTGTGGGGGACATGGAATGAATCAAAGAATAAGATAAATAAGTTAAAATTATGACTGGAAGGTGATGGAGAGAGAGTGAAGCCAGGAGCAAAGTGAACAAGCAGGGGGACTGGTGTGGCCAGAGGTCGGGGAAGGCGTCCTGATGGTCGAGCTGTGATTGAAGGAAGAGAATGCCCACCAGGTGAAAGTGCGGGAGGGGCATCCAGATGGATGGGACAGCATGTGCAAAGGCCCTGTGACAGGAGAGAGCACAGCATGTTTGAGCAGCTGGAGGAAGGTCGGTGTGCCTGGAATGCAGCAAACAGGGGCCTGGAGGAGACGGAGGCTTGGCTATATAGGGCCCACTGGGCTAAACTGGGACTTGTGTTCTTTATTTTAAGAACAATGAGAAGCTTTCATTTATGTTTTGAAAGGGTGACTTTGACTGCAGGCTGGAGAACTGGTGGGGGGAGGGGGCGTTGGTCCAGAATGGATGGCCACTCCCCGTGCACCAGTTAGGGGGCAGTGGTTGTTCTCTAAGTCCCCGGTGGTGGAGGCTAGGGCTAGGGTGGGGGCAGAGACGTGGAGACAAGTGAACTGGTTTGTGAACCATTTCAGAGATGAAAGAGATTTGATTTGGAAATCGACTAATTGGCCTAAGTAAGGGAGAGGGAAATGTCAAGAACACTCCGGCAGTCTCCCCTCCCAACAGATCAGGGATGATGCCTTTCTCTGAGAGAAGTGGAAAGCTGGATGGGGACTGGGTGGACAGAAAGCTCCTGGTTTGGGTTTTGGACTTGTTGAGTTTGAAGTTACATCAAGTTATCCAAGTAGAGATGTCAAGTAGGCCGTTAGATTTATGGGTTCCCAGCTAGGAAAGGAGGCTTGGAGATGTCACATCACGAGTCACCTGTGCATAGGTGGTCAGAGGGGCTGGGGGTGCGGAGGGCAGCCCCCAGGGTGAACGGGCGGAGCGAGAGGTGGAGAGGGTCTAGGACTAAGCTTTGAGGAACTTCGTGGTCCAGAAGGGGAGCTTGATCCTGCCAGGGAGGCAGAGAAGGAGCAGCCTGAGAAGTAGAAAGGCCAGCATGGCGAAGAGTATCAAATTCTGCTGAGAAGCCAAGCAAGAGAAGGGCTCATACTGTCCGCTGGATTTAGTGCCAGGAAGTCGTTGGCGACTTTAGCAAGAGCTGTTCCCATAGATAGTGGTTGTCACCCTGGGGCGGTTTGCTCCCCCTTCCCCACCCCGTGGGACAGTTGCTGTCACAACTCGGGATGGGGATATGCTGCTGGCGTCTAGAAGGTAGAGGCCAGGGATGCTGCTAAACCTTTTATAATGCACAGGACAGCCTCCTACAACAACAAATGATCTGGCCTTAATTGTCAACAGAACTGTGGTTAAAAAATCCTGCAGAAGATGATGAGATGGAAACATTGTTAGAATGGAGGTGACCAGGGGGCCGGCCTGGTGGCATAGTGGTTATGTTCACATGCTCCGCCTCGGCGGCCTGGCGTTCGCGGGTTTGGATCCCGGGCACGGACCTATGCACCACTCGTCAAGCCATGCTTTGGTACCGTTCCATGTACAAAATGGAAGAAGATTGGCACAGATGTTAGCTCAGGGCCAATCTTCCTCAGCAACAAGAGGAGGATTGGCATCAGATGTTAGCTCAGAGCCAGTCTTCCTCACACACACAGAAAAAGAATGGAGGTGACCAGTATAGTCACTTCTCAGAAGTTTGATTAGAGATGAGATAGACATAAGATAAAGTGGAGAAAAGAGATAGGAGATGGGAAGGGTGATGGCTGGAGGAAGACATGGGGTCAAGGGAGTGTGACCCCCATTAACATGAAAGAGACTTTAACATCCTTAAAAAAAACCCAACAGAAGGAGTCCTACTGAAGAAATGGTTGAAGATAGAGTAGAGATAAGGCTTGATGGATAAGCTTTTACATTACCTGAGAAGGTTCAGACAGAGACATTGGAGATGGAAAGGAGGTGGGTCAATATTTTTTCTGTCACTGGAGGGATATCCTAGAGGTTTGGAGCAGATGAAGGGAGGTAAGTATAGGAGGCCGAATAATGGCCCCCTCAAAGATGTCTGTGTCCTAATCCCTGGGACCTGTGAATAGGTTATCTTATATGGCAAAAGGGACTCTGCAGATGTGATTAAGTTAAGGATTTTGAGATGGAGAAATTATCTTGGATGTCGGGGTGGGCCCAATGTAATTACAAGCATCTTTATAAGACGGAGGCAGGAGCGTCAGAGCCAGAGAGAAAAGATTGGAAGATGCTATCCTACTGGCCTTGAAGATAGAGGAAGGAGCCAGAAGCCAAGGAATGCAGGCAGCCTCTAGAAACTAGAAAAGGCAAGGAAACCGATCATTCCTTAGAGCTTCCAGAAAGAACTCAGCCCTGCTGACACCTTGATTTTAGGACTTCTGACCCCAGAACTGTAAGATAATAAATTTGTTTTGTTTTAAGCCACTGTGTTTGTTTGTGGTGGTTTGTTACAGCAGCCTTAGGAAACTAATCCAGGGGGCTTCTGTGTTTGGGGGGACATCTGCTAAAATGTGCGGAGAGGTGGAGAGAGGTGCCTATGAGATTGAGGAGGGTGGAGAAGGCAAGTTCAGGTTGGGGCGAGTAGACTTTGTGGTGCTCATGAGAGGCCCAGGGGGAGCTGTGTGGATCATTGATGCGTGTGGATCTGCAGCCCAGGGGAGATGCCTGGAGCTGGGAAAACGGCGCATATAAAGATGTGAGAAGGGATGGGGCGGAGGGTGAGAAGCTTGAGGACAGGGAGCCCGCTTGGCTCGGGCAGCGCACAGTCTTGGTGTCCTTGGCAGGGGCAGTGTCACGGGCAGAAGCCGCGTTGCTGTGGATGCGGGTGTGAGTGGGAGGTGAGGAGAGGGAGCCAGCAAGGGTGGCTGGCTTGTTTGAAAAGTCTGGCTGCTCATGGAGCAATTATTATACGCCGGGTGCATACCCCATTCTTCCTCTTGGCGGTCCCGCAGGTGGAGGTTGCTGCCCCTGCAGTTCGCATGAGGAAATGCAAGACCGAAGAGGTTAAACGAGCAGTCCCAGTCCCGTAGCTGGCACGTGGTAGACCGCGGTTCCTTCACAGACAGCCCCCCTCCACGGTGCCGGGGGCTTTGAGGAGTTCCTTCGTGGGAGACACAACTAAGGGGGTGGAGGAGTGGATAGCCGCCCCGGATCAGATGTGGTTATGTGTCCAGATTCAACCCAACCTCACAGACACAGAGCGACCCCCCAGCACTAGGCCTCCAGCAGGGAGCTCTGGGGGTAACAGACGTACATGAAGTTTACTCTCTGTTCCTAGTGGAGCCTATGGTCCGGCGACGGGGAGCAGGCGCCGCGGTGTATGTTTGGGGAGGAGGCTTATTCCCAACCAAACGATCCCGAGGCTGGGTGTTGCTGGTGACTGTAGTGCTTGCAGAAGCTTTAGGGGCAGGGAGAAGGGGAATTGGTTTCGACTGGGCAAATTGGAGATGGGT